GCGATCCTCCTCCTCCGGGCATGCGCAGGCGCCCCAGCGGCGCGCGCGCGACTCCGGCGATCGGGCTCGTGCCTTCCCCTCCCTCCTGCTGGGATGGCCGTGGGGGGGTCTAAGTGGACAGGGGGGGGTTCTAAGTGGATGCCAAGGTGTAAGTTAAATCTGGCCCAGCCTGGCTTATAAGTGGGTTGCAAGTGCCCCGAGTGGCTCAGGGGGTTCGAGAACTCCGCTGAGTGGGCGGAGCCCGCTTAGCCGGGATCGTTCACCCCCCTAAGCCACTCGGGGCACTTGTAGCCCACTGATATGCCAGGTTTGGCCATGTATAACCCACCTTATCATCCACTTGTAACCTCCCTATTCACTTAGAGCCCCCCACGGTCATCCCAGTGGGTCGGGGCTCGGACAAGGATCCTTCCGCTCCAGAGCGGTTTGAACGCTCTCGGAGCGCTCCGAGAAGGGCGCGGCGCCCGATACGTCCAGAACCGCCGGATCTCGGAGATCCCCGATCTTTCCCTGTCCGTCTTATCCCTCAGCCACGCGCAGAGGGGGGTGGGGGGAGGGGGGAAGGCTTCTCAGAAGCACCCCTGTTTCTGAGAGGGCGCGGGCCTTGTCTATCGATGCAGGGCCGGCACCTTCTAAGACGCAGCCTCCTTCCAAGAGGCCTTCCCCCTCCCCCCTGCCCCCCTCGTGGGCGCCGCCAGATCCCCTCGGGCGGCGCGGAGGCGTCCTCGGCTACCACCTCGTGGCCAGCGTGGGCGGCGGCGACATGCCCTGCTGCGTCACGGCGCCACGCCCTGCCGCTCCGTCCGCTCGGCCGCCCCTCCCACAGGCCACCCCGCGACGTGCCGGCGCCGTGTGCCGATCTGACGGCGGACGGCCCTTGGCAGTGCTAGGCCTCTGGGGCCCCCCGCCGTGCCCCGGGGCCGGCGTTTCGTCGCAGAGGCGGAGGAGGAGGGCAGGGGGAGGATGGCGAGGAGCAAGATGGGTCAGGGAGAGGGGCGTGGATGACAAGGTCGACGAGGAGCTGGATAGGGCAGGGAAGGAGGAGGAGGAGGAGGAGGAGGAAGAGGAGGAGGAGGAGGAGGAGGAGGAGGAGGAGGAGGAGGAGGAGGAGGAGGAGAGGGGGAGGAGGAGGAGGAGGACGAGGAGGAGGAAAGGCGTGGAGCGACGAGGGGGAGCAAAGAGGCGGAGGCGGAGGAGGAGGAAGGGTGGGTGGGTGATGTGTCGGCCATGGGCGGGAGTGCTGAGCGGTGTCGGCCAGACCAGGGGATGCGGCGGTCGGCGCTCTGGGGCAGCGCCCCGGGCGGTCCTCTGGGGCCCGCAGGTGCTCCGGAACCCTCGTGCGCTCCCCCCCCCACCCCCCTCGCGTCCCCAAAACGCTCCCGACCCCTCTCCGAAGGGGTCAGGAGCTCTTCGGGGTCGCCGTTCTGGAAGTTCCCCCAGGCGGAGGGCCCAATCGTCTGCGACGGGCGGGCGCCGCAGGGCCGGCGGGACGAAGAAGGGGCAGTCCCCGCTGGGCCACGAGACGTGAGAGGGGTGTGCCGAGATGGGTGCGGGGCCGCCATGCGGACCCTTCCACTGGGGCCTTCGGTGGAGCTTCCTATGGGGCCACGGAGCGCGTGTGTGTGGGGGAGCTGAATCGGGTGCGGGTGCGCCGTGCGGTCGCCGCCGCTGGGCCTTCGGTGGAGTTCCTTGTGGGGCCACGAAACGCGCGTGCGTGCGTGCGTGTGTGTGTGTGTGTGTGTGTGTGTGTGTGTGTGTGTGTGTGTGTGTGTGTGTGTGTGGGTGGGGGGGGGGGCTGAATCGGGTGCGGGTGCGCCATGCGGTCGCCGCCGCTGGGGCCTTCGGTGGAGTTCCTTGTGGGGCCACGGAACGTGTGAGGCGCGTGCTGAATCGGGTGCGGGTGCGCCATGCGGTCGCCGCGGAGCTCCCCATGGGGCCATGAAACGTGTCAGGGGTGTGCCGAAGTGGTGGACATGCGGAGGGCAGAGGCAGGGATGGAGGGAGGAGGTGAGGAGAGGAGGAGGAGGAAGGACGCGGGGCGCTGTCTCTTCAAAACGAGGACCCAGCACCACAGAATGCTTGGGGAAAAGCGCGATTGAACACATCAGATCGCCAGAGGTCTCGAGTCTGGCCTGCTCGGAGCTCTGGGCCTCTCGCGGCCGTTTGCTGGCCGGAGTGGCCCCTGCAGCCTTGCGGGGGCCGCGGGCCCCCCCGCGCCTTGGGAAAACAGCCGGGGCAAAGGGCTTCATTGTCCGGAGGCAGCTTTTCTGGTCTCCGCACGGGGCCGCCAGGGATGGAGCGGTCCGGCATGACAGGCTGGCCCTTGGAACCCGGGCCTCCGAGAAGTTGTTTTGCAGCAGAGGCCTCCTCTGTCCCACGTCTGCCCCCAGGCGGCCGCCTGCGAGCCCCAGGACAGGCAGAAGGCGGATCTGGCGAGCAGCAGCGCTACACCCATGGATGGGATCGAGACCTTGGCTCGGACATGCTTGTGCTGTATGTGCATCGCCCCCCCAGGGGCGACGCGCGCACCGAGAAATCTTCCAGTATGTGCGTCGTGGCGGGCGCTTCCTCGCCACACCGCGCGGGAAACGACATGCTACAAGATGGGCGTACGATATGTCGATATGTTCGGGTCGGACGCGCGCCTCCAAGGAGGGCATGTAGTACTAGTATGTCTCTGTGGGTCCCATTGGGCGGCCGCGCACGGAACAGAGCATTGTCGTCGGACGTCTGGGAAGCCGTCGAGAGGTCCGGGGGCCCCGTGCTGGAGACGTCTTCTCCGGCTGGGCCTGGAGGGCGCCCGCGACGGTCCCGGGCCGGGCCAGGGTCCGTGCGCGCGAGGGCGGGCCGCAGCATCGCGCGGCTCCTCCACGGCGCCGGGGGATGCTGTGGGATCCGCGTTCTGGGGCCATGCAGATCCCGTCCTCCCGTCCTCGCGCTCCTCCTCGCCCTCCGCCCCGCCCCCCCCTTCCTCCCCCTCCTCCTCGTCCTCCTCGCCCTCGTCTTCCTCGCCCTCCTCGTCCTCCCCGTCCTCCTCGTCGTCGTCTTCCTCCCCTTTCTCTCCCCGTCCTCCCCGATCAGCGCCCCCCCCCCCTTCCCGGAGGGGGGCCCGGGGCCCTCCGCTCTCCCCGCTGTCGCCGTCGCCGCCCCGAGCGCCGCCGACGTCGAGCGTGCCGTCCTGAGAGGGGGGCCTCGCGGGCGCTCGCCACGCCGCAGCCCTCGATCCCGACCATGCTGGAATGGGACGGCGCCTGTTTCTTCATTGCTCGGGCCACAACGCGCGTGATGCCCCCCCCCCCCGCCCGCCCGCCCCGCCCTCCCCGCCCCCTTCATAACGCAGCGCTCCAGCCCTCAGTGCGCCCCGCGGCACTGCCGCCGCGCGCGGGGCCAGGGGGGGGGGTACGTTCTGCCCCCCCCTTCGCCCCCCGCCCCCCGCCCTTCCCCAGAAGGCCCGCTATCGTTAAGTCGGGCCTGTCCCTCTACAGGAGGAATGCCCAAAAATAGTCAAAACATAGTATGGGGACGGTGTTGTAGTATTCTCTAAACTATGTTTGATTTTTTGGATGCTCTTCATTGTTCGCCCGCAAGGGGACATGCCCGACCTAACGCTATCGCCGCGAATCAGGAAATGCGCTCATGTCTGGACACAGGCTGGTAGATTTTGTAAGGAGCCGAACTCTGTACACCGACGCTCTTTCTGGCCCCGCACCGAACCTCGCACAGGAAAGCGGGTCCTGGTGTATACGGGGTTTTGGTGTATATATTTTCGTTCCTGCCGCGGGAAGACGGGGACACACGTAGACACCACACCATCCCGACGTCGTCGCCGACCCTCAAACTGTCTTGGGATTGCAAAACAGCCCGCCACTGGTACACGCCAGTCGTTGAAAGAAGGCGTTCTTGGATTCCCAGAGCCCAATCTACTTCGAGCGCCTTCCGACTTCAAGAGTCGACACGCTTCTGCTGTGTCTTGTTGTTCCCTGGGGGGGGGGCCTGGAACCCTATCAACTTCATCCGCCCTCCTGCTTCACGGTTTTGCCTACCTCTTCCGACCGTCGGGTAGTACATATGCTCCGATGTTGGATGTGCCAGTCTCCCGGGGCCCAGGACGGGGCGAGAGCGAGTGCCGCCCGGGAGCAGCGCCGCGGAGCCCCCGTGCGAGGACAGGCGGCAGCCGCGACGCCACGGACGAGGCCCTGCTGCGTCGGGGGCGCGACGTTGCCGTCGCTGGCGAGGGATCGTCGCTTCTGGGGGCGCGAATCTGGTGCAGTGTGCGAGCATGTTTTCTTTTTTGGGGGGGGGGGGGGGGGGCGGAATCTGCAAGGGATCGTGGCCTCGGGGACGCGAGCGAGCCCGGTGTGCATTGACAGAGGTCGCGACCTCAGGGGCGCGAGTGCAGATTAGATCACGAGGGATTGACGCTGATGGTATATGGCCTCGTGGGCGCGGAGGGAAGGTCATTTGCAAGGGCTCGTGCCTTCGGGTGCCCGGACCTGGCGTACTTTGCCAGGGAGATCGTTGCCTTTAGGGGGGGCGCGTGTCCTGCGTCATGTTTGGAAGGGGATCTTGGCCTCGGGGGCGCGGACCGTGCTAATTGACAAGCGGATCGTGGCCCCGGGGACGCGAATCTGACGTAATTTGTCTGGTTTCGTGGCCTAGGGGGCGCGAATCTGGCGTAGCTTGCTGATGGGGCCCGGGGGCGCGAGTCTGATATTTCCCAACCATCCTGTGGTGTTGGGTCCTCGTTTTGAAGAGACAGCGCCCCGCGTTCCCACCTCCCTCCCGCTGCCCCCTCCTCCCCCTCCTTGCCTCTGCCCTCCGCATGTCCATTGCGCCACACCCCTCACACGGTTCGTGGCCCCATAGGGAGCTCCACCGAAGGCCCCAGTGACAGGGTCCACATGCAGTTCCACTTTCATTTCGGCGCACCCCTCACAGGGTTCGTAGCCCCATAGGGAGCTCCACCGAAGGCCCCAGTGGCAGGGTCCGCATGCAGTTCCACCCCCATTTTGGCGCACACCTCACAGGGTTCGCGGCCCCATAGGGAGCTCCACCGAAGGCCCCAGTGGCAGGGTCCGCATGCAGTTCCACCCTCATTTTGGCGCACACCTCACAGGGTTCGTGGCCCCATAGGGAGCTCCACCGAAGGCCCAAGTGGCAGGGTCCGCATGCAGTTCCACCCTCATTTCGGCGCACCCCTCACGGGGTTCGCGGCCCCATAGGGAGCTCCACCGAAGGCCCCAGTGGCAGGGTCCGCATGCAGTTCCACCCCCATTTCGGCGCACATCTCGCAGGGTTCGTGGCCCCATAGGGAGCTCCACGGAAGGCCCCAGTGGCAGGGTCCGCATGCAGTTCCACCCTCATTTCGGCGCACCCTTCGTCAGGTTCGTGGCCCCATAGGGAGATCCACCGAAGGCCCCAGTGGCAGGGTCCGCATGCAGTTCCACCCTCATTTCGGCGCACCCCTCACAGGGTTCGCGGCCCCATAGGGAGCTCCATTGAAGACAGTATTCACAATTGCGTTACTCACAACCTCACATGGTTGGGTCCTTCGCCAGGATAGTTTTGTCCGTGTCCCAGGGCTTCCCAGGGAATTCTGAATTGGAGACTGGAAACTGGAACGTGCATTGGAATAGTGATTGGGACCGAGCAGCTCAGGACTGGTATACGTTGCTGAAGCCCGATCTTCGCAGGCTGGTGGCCCCGCAAGGGGGCCGGCGGATTCTGGCAGGGAGCGTTCAGTTGCGCTGCCGCGAGTGTCCGCGCTTGGGGATGTATCGTCTCAGTGATGTAGCGCGGCATGGCCGTGGCCATGCATGGTTGGCAAGGCCGATGAGGCGGATGAGGAGGAAGAGGAAAAGGAGTTGGAGAAGGACGTTGAAGGAGGCTACATGAGGTGCTATGCGCGTCCGGACCTCAAACTTGTCTAGCAAACTGTGTCAGCGCCTGGAGACCTGTGCTTGCATTGTGAAATGGCGATCCGAACGGGCGAATTTCATGTAAGTATCGCCGTTCGGCAACAGGGATGAAGGGGATTCAATTGCAAGAGTGTGCATCCGAGAACTGATTGGGGTAACAAGGGATCCTCGGGGGCAACCGACGCCCTTGTTGTCTGCAGATCCACTACCAGCAAGCAGCAAGCTAGATACACACGATGTGGCTGGCCTCAGCGACAGCTGGACACACACGTGGCGACAAATGGATACATACATGGCTGCATGTCTTTCCATCGCTCGGCCTCGTATGGACAGGCACGCCGGCCTTCGCATGTGCATCCAGCACTCGGCCTCCTCACTCGGAGTACCGCCCGGCGGGGCCTTCCCGAGCGGGGGTTGCTGCTCCCCGGAGCCCGCGATGCCGCGCGCCCCCGCGACGCGTGCCCCCTGGGACGCACCCCTGCCAGCCCGGCCGCCAGAGCCGCCAGTGCTGCTGCTGTTGCCTGCTACCCGAGGAGGAGGGGGAGGAGGAGGAGGAGGAGGAGGAGGAGGAGGAGGAGGAGGAGGAGGAGGAGGAGGAGGAGGAGGAGGGAGGAGGAGGAGGGAGGAGGAGGAGGAGGAGGAGGAGGATGAGGAGGAGGGGAGGAGGGGGAGGAGGAGGAGGAGAGGAGGAGGAGAGGAGGAGGAGGAGGAGGAGGAGGAGGAGGAGGAGGGGAGGAAGGAGGAGGAGGAGGAGGAGGAGGAGGAGGAGGGAGGAGAGGAGGAGGAGAGGAGGAGGAGGAGGAGGAGGAGGAGGAGGAGGAGGAGGAGGAGGAGGAGGAGGAGGGGGTATGATGGCCCGCTGGCGCTCATGGAGCGCCGACGCTGCTCCTTTGTGGCTGCCCGCTGCCCGTCGCCCACGGTGCTGGCGCTTCCGCCCGACGCTTGCCGGCTTTCCAGGGCCGATCTTCGGTAGCCTCATCCGCCTGGCTTCGACTCTTTGAGCGCTCAAGCAGCTTTTGCCCCAGTGGCGTGCAACCGACTAGTGTTTTTTTGTTTGTTTGTTTTTGTGTGTGTGTGCGTGCGTGCGTGCGTGCGTGCGTGCGTGCGTGCGTGTGTGTGTGTGTGTCCCTTCTTCTGAGGGCCCAGCCGCGCGCGTCCGCCGCTCTTTCTTCTCGCCTCTGGATGCGTTTGTAATTCTTACGCCTCGTCGCTGTGCGCGAGGCCGTGGCGCCCAAAAGAGTGTGTGTGTGTGTGGTGTGTGAGTGTGTGTGTGTGTGTGTGGTAGTGTGTGTGGTGGTGTGTGTGGTGTGTGTGTGTGTTGTGTGTGTGATTGTGATTGTGATTGTGATTGTGTGTGTGTGTGTGTGCGCGTGTCGTCTTGTTCAACCTCGTGCCGCCGCGCGTGTTGCCGCGTCGCCAATCCATATACATATATATATATATATATATATAGATGCGTGTGTTCTCCAGCATCCTGGTGCTGTACTACCCTGTAGCCGCAAGAGGTCTTTAATACTGCCCCCCGCCCCCCCCGCCCTCCCCAAAGCTCTGCATTGGCAATAATTTGCGAGGATCGGCGGCGGCCGAATTATTCGCACAGTAGTGCGGTTCTTTCGCCTGGCGGGGAGTATCCCTTGGGCTACCCTACACGATGGAGCACATCCGTGCCTGTTCTGGCAAGGCTTGAAGTACGTGCCCGTACCCTTGCCCTCGAGTCGTTTTAGGTATAGTCGTGATAGCGCGCGTCGATGGACGACGACGAAGACGGCGACGGACGACGACTACTACTACAACGACGACGACGACGGCGACGACGAGGAAGGCGTTGACGGCGTCACCGGCAGAGGAGTAATGATTTGCCGGTTATTGCTGGATTTCGGCAAAAGTCAATTCGGCATTGGAAAAAGGATTCTTTGTCGATGATTGGGGGTATTGCCGACTTCTGCGGTTATGCGTGCTTAAGTTGCGGCGATGAACTCGGGGTAAGTGTACGCAGGCGTGTGTGCACTTTTCAACTTGAAATCTTGTAGCGGGTTATTTTCTGCGCGTCTGCGACACAAGAGTTCCGCAAGCCATGCAGTAGCGCGGCATGATTGATTGTACCGCCAGTGGCCCTTTTGAGGCCGTTGCGGTGTCTCGTGGCTGCCTTTGGGATCTAAGTGCCTTGGTGGGGGACTATTGGCTGCAATGTTTGAGGGGTCGCTGGGCCGTGTCGGGGTGCCTCGGGGCCGTCTTGGGGTGGCCTCGGGCCATCTTGGGGCTGCCTTGGGGCTGTCTTAGGTCATACGGCTGTGTGTGTGTGTGTCTTTTTTGCGGTATAGGGTTGTCTTGGGAGAGGGCGTTTTCGGCTGTCTTAGAGCTGTCTTGGCAGCCTCCGTGGTGGCGTGATGCCTCCTGGACTGCTGGTCTTGGGCGGCCCAAGGGGACGTACTGAGCCCATCTTGAGCTCTCGGGGATGGTGAGCCCCGAAATGGCTTTCATTGACCTGTTCAGGTTTCACCTCTTAGGCGACCTGCAGAAGGGCTCTCTTCACGCCTCGGAATCCCTCGGGTCTTGGGACTGTCTTCAGATTTTGTAGCCTTCCGAACAAACAGAGTCCAGAGGTGGTGATCGGTCTTGGGCGTTTCAGGGCCCGTTCAGTAGATCTTGGATCTCGATGCGGGCCGGGCCCCTCGTCCCGTGACCTTGGGAAGTTGCTTGCAGATTCTTGAACCGGCACCCGAACTCTAATCGACGTTTCTCGCAGGTAAAACCCAGTGCTCAACATGCGCGTCCTGCGCGATTGGGGCCCTGATGGCTGCTGCGTGAGGAGCACCGCGCACTGAGAAGGACGGGCTTGACAAGCCCATGCCGCAGCAGAGACCGGTGGCGGGTCTGAGGTGCCCTCCCGTCCCTTTCACCTCTTCTCGCCGAGGTGCTCAACTCGTACTCCGGCTGGGCGCTGGTCGCAGAGGGGATGCTGTTGGACAGCCCTACGCTCACGGTGGTCGGCTCCCTCATAGGCTTCAGCGGCGCCATCCTCACCAAGATCATGTAGGGAGGGGGATCGAGGGCAGGGTGGTGCCCAGTGGATCATAATTCAGGGGCAGGTGGCGAACGTGATCAGTATACTGTATGCGACCACCCTTCGGGTGATATGGAGGTTGGGGGCTGGGGGGGAAGAACCAACTGCTGGCAAATGCGATAGGTGTGATGATGACGATGCTGGTCACGCGCTCTCGAGTTGGCGATGAGGCGGGATGACGATGGTGCGCTGCGTTGTAATGTCACTATCGCCCCCGCCTTCGTTCGCTTTCGATCTCACTACGGATCTCACGATCGATCTCACTACCGATGTCGCAAACAATGTCCCAGTCAACCTCACTGTCGAGCACACTCTTGATCTCACTATCTATCCTATTCTAGCGGTTTCAATATCGATCTCACTATCGACTTCACTATCGATGCCAAAGCGGGACACACCTGGCCACCGCTCGCCCACCGCCGACGGAACACCGACGGGACACCAACGGAACACCGGCGAGACACCACAGGACACCATTGCGGGACACCCAGGGCCACCGCGCGCCCACTGGGGGCGGATGAGCGGTCCATTGCATCTGAGTCGCCCTAGCGACGGCAAGGTCATTCCTCTCGCGCGCTCACGCAGCTTCGCATCGCCCGCACGCGCGACGCGAACACGGGTCCGAAACCGATTTCCCGGTGGGGGACTCTCCGCTCCACTGCGATCTCACCCCCAAGCCTCCGATCAGGTCGCTCGTGTCGGCCTCTTACACCTGGCCTTGACCAGAGCCTGCTCGAGCGAGTCGAACGACTGCGTCCATCGAGTCCTGTGGCAAAGGGCCTGTAGCCTTTTACCCGAGCTGTGGCCCAGAGGACAAGCACGGGCAGGATTCGTTGCTTTGGGTCTCGATTCTCTGAGTGGGGGCCCAGAGGAAGAACCGATGACTGCAGTGACTCTCTCCACGGGTCCGCCTGGTCCCACTCACCTTCACCCAGCTGTCCATAGCCAGGCTTCCCATCTCTTTCCCATTGCCGCATGCTTCTGTGGACTTTCCCTCGGGTTTCGCTGGAGACAGGAGCCCACCATACATTTTGGTTGAGCAGAGGCCAGATGTTCCCACCTCAGGCAGGACGATTTTACCAGCCAGCCCGCTCGCCCTCTCCGAGACACGGATGAAAGGGGGGACCGCCACCCGCCCTCCGCTTCCTCGCTGCGCGGGCGAGAGGTGCGACGCCATGAATCGCGATATCCTGAACGTGATCTTCGGCGGCATGGCGACGCCGGCACCAAAGAAAAACCCGGACGGCATCGAGGAGGCCCCCAAGGACAGCGGGCGGTGCAGGCGGAGAAGGAGGAGCAGCAGCAGCAGCACCACCAGAGAGGAAGAATGAGGACGAGGACGAGGAGGGGAAGGAGGAGGAGGAGGAGGCGGAGGCGGAGGCGGAGGAGGCGGAGGAAGCCCCCGTCAAGAACGGCAGCATCGAGGAGGGTCCAGAGACGCCTGGACTGCCGCCAGGAGAGGGAGGAGGAGAGCCTCGACAACCGACCACGCGAAGAAGTATCAGCGCCGTGAGAAATCATGACTGGCGCCGTCGGCTCCATCTGAACGCAAGATTTTTCCGATTGGACCGACCCTTGGTGTTTCCGAGCTCCCTGGGCTCCTAAGGCCAGCAGAATCGTTAGTGTTTTCCTTTCCCCTCCCCTCCCCGAGGGAAGCAGGAGGAAGAGGGAGGAGGGTCCCGTCAAAGAGGGCGGCATCGAGGAAGCGAGGACCTTTGAGGGGGTCGGCTGCCAGTCTCCACGTCTTCGCCCTCCTACTGGAAGGGAAGGACGTGGAGAATCTCTTTCTCGCTCTCTCTCTCTCTCTCTCTTTCTCTGCCTCTCTGTATCTATCTCCCCCTCTCGCTCGCTCTCTTTCTCTCCCTGTTGTTTTGGTTTCCCCCTCTCTCTCTCTCCCCTTTATCCGTAAGGGCTTCGCCACATGCCGCCGGCCCCCTGTCTCGGATAATGGGAGATGCAACAGCTAAATCATGAGGTCTGGGTGCCGCCGTGAAGCAGTGTCGGGACTTGTTTGTTTTTGGACCCTGACCCCGCCGATTTGCTTGAGAGGTGCCACCGAATTTTAGGAATGTAGCAGATCCCACTTGTTTTTGGACCCTGACCCCGCCAATCTGCGTGAGGGGTGACACCGAACTTCAGAAATGTGGTAAATCCCTTTTGTTTCTGGATCCTCACCCCGCCGATCTGTATGAGGGGCGCCACCAGATTTCACAACTGTGGCAAATCTTTTGTGTTTTTGGACCCTGACCCCGCCGATTTGCGTAAGGGGTGCCGCCGAATTTCAGAAATGTGGCAAATCCCTAGTGTTTTTGGACCCTGACCCCGCCGATCTGCGTGAGGGGTGATACCGAATTTCAGAAATGTGGCAAATCTTCATGTGTTTCTGGACCCTGACCCCGTCGATCTGCATAAGGGGTGCCACTGAAGTTCAGAAATGTGGCAAATCCCTAGTGTTTTTGGACCCTGACCCCGCCGATCTGCATAAGGGGTGATACCGAAATTCAGGAATATGGCAAATCCCATGTGTTTCTGGACCCTGACCCCGCCAATCTGCGTGAGGGGTAGTACCGAATTTCAGAAATGTGGCAAATCCTTTTTGTTTTTGGACCCTGACCCCGCCGATCTGCGTGAGGGGTGCCCACTGATTTCAGAAATGTGGCAAATCCTTTTTGTTTTTGGACCCTGACCCCGGAGTGCCGCCGAATTTTGAAAATGTGGCGCATCCCTTGTGTTTTTGGACCCTGACCCCGCCGATCTGCGTGAGGGGTGATACCGAAATTCAGAAATGTGGCAAATCCCTCATGTTTTTGGCCCTGACCCCGCCAATCTGCGTGAGAGGTGATACCGAATTTCCATCATGTGACAAATCCCTGGTGTTTCTGGACCCTGACCCCGCCGATCTGCGTGAGCGGTGTTAATTTTTACCCCCCAGAAATTCTGAGAACTCTCCCAGGGCGTAGTAGTTCTGCTGGTTTGGGCTCCCCCCCCTCGCGCGTTCATCAACAACGATCGGTAAGCAGCAAGAAGCAGAAACGTAACAGTGGAAACCGGAAGCTGTAACTGACACAGGGAGCAGCACATTCCCGGCCTACAGCCTGGTGGCCCCGCAAGGGGGCCGGCGGATTTCTCTGTCTCTTCCTCTTTCTCTCTCTCTAAATCGTTATCTCTGTCCTCCCCTTTCTCTTTCGCTTTCCCTCCGTCTCTTTCTCTTCTCCTAATATTCTTTTTTACTTGTATCTTTCTCTCTCTCTCTCTCTTTCTGTTTTTGTTTTTCTCTCTCTCTCTCTCTCTCCCCCCTCTCTCTCCCTCTCTCTCTCTTTCTGCCTTTCTCTCTTTATCTCCAGTCTCGGCTCGAGGGTCCATGACCCAGTATGCAACCACTATGCGAGGCCCCCCAGCGCAGCTTTCCCCGCGCATGGCGAGGCTGGATACACCCCCCCGATCGGGGTGTGACAGACTCGCGTCACCTTTGAATCCCCATGCGCGCCGCCATGGCTTCTGAGGGCCTTCGCCGCGTGCGTCATGAACCATTGCAGCCCGTGCCATCAGGCATGGGCCGCCAAGCCTCCCGTCTCGAGGGCCGTCTCGTGCGACAGGAGGCCCGCGCCGCTGCTCTCCACAGCGACGGCGGCGCACCCTGAGCCAAGACAGCCTGCACCCATCTTGTCCAAAAGCGCCAATCCGACCTCGACGCCGCCTATCAACAACACCGCCCCAACCAGCCCCGTTTCAGGAGCGAGCTGATGCGTGTGCACGGAGAGTTCGAGATCAGCCAACCTGTGCTGCATCTGGCCCCTCACGCACGCACGGGCGGGCTTGGGCCGTGGCCCACCAGGGCTCACGACCTCGGCTGGTGCCCACCATGGCATCTTTGCGGATCTCAGGGCCTGACTCAATGTGTGCAGCGTGCTGTGCTGAAGGCATACAGGCCGCAGCGCACGAAATGTTAGCATCTTTCTGAAGGAGCTGCCGTTTCTCAGCCAACCGCATGTTTGTCCGTGCGAGGCTTCAGAAGCCCAGCGGTGTTGCCTGAGGCAGCATGAGCGCCAGGGCTGCGTCGTGGCCCCCGAGTCGGGCCACAGACAAGTATTTGCACATAGCGCAGTTCAAGCTTTACGCAAGGACCGTTCTGTGAAGCAGCTGGCGGACGATCAAACATAGATGTGTCTGCGCGTCCGCTATGGTACCCACATTCGCATGAATACCCTAAGCGCTGGGCGGCTGGGCGGCCCGCGAGCAAGACCACGATTGTGGCGGCTCGCAGAGGCGCGCGTTTGTGCCGGCGCCCAGCAAGTCTTCACAAAGCTTGTCCTGGGAAGGAGCGTGGCACGGTCCATCGCTGGGACCAGTTTCCCACTTTGCTCCGGCTGGGACGCGGTATCCCGAAGTAGCATGGAATTTGGCTGCCAAATGTTGCGCAGCCCCGGCTGTAAAGACAGATGCCGCAGCAGACGCCTGTCCCACGTGCTTTTCGCAGACGATGTGAACGTCTACGCGAACAGTCTGGGAGAGCTCATTGAGATGCTCGACGTGCTGAACGAAGAGCTGCAGCGAGTCGGCCTGGAGCGGAACGCCAAGAAGAGCATATCTTCACCTAGGATCATCTTTTGTACGATGACGCATCTCAGGTCTGAGTCGACACAGCTGGGGACTTCATCAACGTAGTGATGTCTTCTGATTACCACACGTACTTGGGAAATCGGTTTCTGGGCGACCTCAAGACCCGAGGCAGGGCTATGCTTGCAAATCGGCTTCGCTGTGCATGGGCCAAGTTCAATTCGTTCAGGGCGGCCCTGACAAACAAACGCGTCGACTTCGACCTCCGTGCCCAGCTGTTCGATAGCATCGTCTCGCCGACGGCCTTGTACGGTCTGTCGACGGCGCCTCTGACAGCGGACGACGTTTCGAAGCTTGCAAGTACACAGCAGCAGATTTTACGCTGCATGGTGGGATATGTCAAGCTCGACACAGATGACTGATCGGACATGTACTCGGAGTATCACAAGCTCGCAAGCCCATCCGGCAATGGGCCACGGAGCTCATCAAGAGCAAAGTCCGGTTGCAGGTTAAACTCGTAGAGCACGCTGTTGAGCGTAGTCGTGGCCTGGGACCCAGGCGGCATTGCCGACGCAAGGCTGTCTGCCCAGCCGAAGCGCTGCAGAGGCAGGCCACGAACGACGTGGCGCAGCAGCTTTTGATTCCCGCTCGAGTTTCCTCGGTCGTCCCCCCTCCTGTCTGGCGTCCCTCCCCCCCTCTCCCCTCGCCTCGCCTCTCGTCCTTGCCCGTCGTGCGTCCCTCTCTCCCTTCACGCGTCCTTTCCCCTCCCCCTTTTTTCGATGCGCAGCCATGAACACATCAGCATCAGAGGACATGCAGCAGCAGAGGCCATTTAGTTCGCGCAGCTGTTTTTCTTTCACTCCGCGTCCGGTATCGGACCGGGCTTCGTGCTCGTACGGGACCTTGCTTGCTTTGCTTGCTTGGTGGCTGTAAGCTGTAAAGACAGAGTAGCAGTGCTTGGCTCTCGAGTCAGTGTGTTCACGGAGAGTTTCCGCTTCCGTCGGGCGCACCACCATCACCAACAGCAACATCATCATCGTAATGGACATCATCACCATCATCATCAGCACCACCATCATCATTGTCACCAACACCATCAGAAGCATCATCAGTATTATCGTCATCGTTATCATCGTCATCATCATCACCACATATCATTTCCTCCCCTCCCTTCTCCGTCCTCTTCATCCTCCTCATTATCCTCTTCTTCCTCCTCCTCCTCCTCCTCCTCCTCCCCCTCCTCCTCCTCCTCCTCGTCACTCCTCGTCCTCCTCCTCTTCGTTTCCTCATTTCTGCTTTGCCCACCTTCCTTTCTCCTCGTCCCTATCCTAGTATTTTGCCGCGTGTGGACCAAGCGGCCGCCCCCCGTGTCATCTGGTCGCGCCGCCGTACTGGCGATGGCGGTGCCGTGGGCCAGGCCGGGGAAACATAATCCCAAACCCAAACCAAAAAGGTCAAACGCGTGGCTATCCGAGAGGAAGCCGAGCAGGAAGAGGCGGGGGGGCCCTCGCTCCTTCTCTTCTGCTCCTCCACCTTCGTCCTCCTTTTCCTCCTCCTCCTCCTCGTCTTCCTCCTCCCCCTCCCCCTCCTCCTCCTCCTCCTCCTCCTCCTCCTCCTCCTCCTCCTCCTCTTCCTCCTCCTCCTCCTCCTCCTCCTCCTCCTCCTCCTCAACGACTGCTCAGCAGGAGTCTGTTGGCCAGCGTGGGCC